GGGAAGAAAGAAAAGAAAAACTAGCAGGATCGTCAACCAGCCTCCGGATGCATATTACAATCAAGCAGTGCATCAAGAGCGATCTTACTCTCAATCGGCACGGCAAGGTGAGGGCCTGTTCTCTATGACAACAGGCAGAGATTCTTTTTACAAAGAGAGTTAATAATTGTACAAGGAGTGCGCAACAGACCAACACACAACCTTTCGAAAACCGAGCTGCTGTAGTTTCTGAAGAAAAGGAGAAAAGTGCGGCAAAAGCCGAAACAGCATCGCTGACTACGAAAAACGGAAATGTCTTCAATGCTACTTACTCTACACCTAATAGCTACCGTCGGTCGGAACAAAGACGAACGCCACGGGCTCTTAGCCATGCTCTTCAACAACTACCACGCGTGCACAAGAACCGCGTCATCATTAACCCCTACATACCCGTCACTTCCACCCCTGCATCGGAATTGCGGGCCCCTCGACGTCATTAACTCTACTACATATCCGACACTTCGTGCCAGCATGTTGTACCAGGTGTCCTAGAACGGGGGAACAATTAGAGTCCGCAAAGGCTATGATAGTCTGGGGATGCCTAACAAACGTTGATAGTCCCAGTTCATTACTGAGCTGAGATATGGATAGACAAAGGCACAGGAAACCACAAGGCAGCTAGTATGGTACTCTTGCTTTGCCGAGAAGGTAGCAATTGGTTTTGCAGACACGCCGACCAGATTCTGACGTGGATGGTTACGACCCTGACCTGAACGATAGCCGGCCTAGTCAGTAACTCAATCTCTACAGCTATTACCAAAACTGATCTCGACATGCGATAACAAACCCAGACCTATCCACTCGCACGATCCCTGATCAAAACGGGGGCTAACCCCCTGCCACTGTCGCGTTGCCCGGAAAATCCCCCATCCACCAGCCTTTCGCATCCCTCGTTTTCGTTCTCCTCGTAACCACGTACGACAAGTGTCAAGTCATGGCATCACTGCATTTGATAAGAATGCCAGTGTGTCTACGAGGAAGAAAGAAAACGAGGGACGCTTCTTGTTCCCAGTCAGCACACGCTGCTTTTCCAGTCGGTCTGATCCATCCATCCATTCAGCCCCACCATTCCTGTTCCCCCATCCTCTCTCTCTCTCTCTGTGTGTGTGTGTGTGTGTGTGTGTGTACAAGCAATACCGACAAAATGTATCCCTTTCGGCCACACCTTCGTACAGTTGCTCTTCGGGGTTATCGAAGGGCCCCCTGCAGTCTCCTTCTGCCGTTAGGTTTACCGTCAGCAGGCCCCATTCAGATCTGGCAGAGCGATAGGCAGGCAGGCGGCAGGCAGGAGGCAGGCACGAATGAATGACCGAGTTCTCCTTAGAAGATGTGTCGCGTGCTTGCTTTAAGGAACACTGCTCGACTGAAGTAGACAAGATGAACAACTCGACCTTCGTCTGCGCATTCAATCCCCCCTCAGTCCGTACCCACCTTCACCGACTTCCTAAGAGAGCTCACTAAGCTGCTTTGATGACTGCACCTGTACCAAACCTCTCTGCTCTCAGACGCTTCTTCTCTGCTTCGTCCACAGAACCCTGGGATTTCATGGAAATCCCAAACCTCTCAGCCCGCAATTTTCTCTTCAGCGACTCAGCTTCATCGGGAGCCTTCGACACTGCCACAGCTTTCACTGACTCAGAATTTCCTGAAGCCGCTGCAGGAGTGTCGGTGGCGGTGATACCAAACCGGGCCGCTCGGAGAGCTTTTTTCTGCTTCTCAGTTGCAGCCTTCGTCTCGTCAGTCTCGATTCCAAACCGAGAGGCTCTCAGTTTGCGTTTCTCGTCCTCGGACACCTGCAGCTCTACTCCAAACCGCTCTGCCCGCCGCTGTTTCTTCTCAAGATCCGGAATGGCAGAAGCCTGGGCAGCGGCACTACTCACAGCGTCTTTCACACTCTTCGTCTTCGAGTCCGCCGCCTCGGCCGACTCCATCACAACATCTCCCTGTGCATCCGATTTGACGTCAGACCCGGGCTTTGCAGGGTCCTCGGAGACTGCTTGGGAACCAGTGGTTGCGCCAGTGCCCGTTTTCACGACCGCTCCCTTCACAACTCCAGCAGGACTCGACGAGACGGCAGCCTTCGGCACCGCCGTCGCTACCGTCTTTCCCGCGTCGGTGGGCTTAACACCGGTAGCCACTTTCGTCGCTGGCGATGTACCGGGCTTGGCAAGGCCCGGCTTCGTTCCTACCTCGGCTGCACCCCCTGGCTTCGTCGCATCAGGTGCGCCCTTCACAACCGCACCGGCTTTCGCGGCTCCTAAGGCAGCTTTCGCCGCCTCGGAAGATTTCAGTGTGGCAGTCAGCGCCGTGCGTACCAGAGTGACCGACCTGCCAGTACCAGCGGTAGCTGTCTTCGCCACCTCTGCGGAGGGTTTTGCAGCACCAGCACCAGCAGTGGCGGCGGCGGCAGGCTTGACTCCGGTTTCGCCGGTCTTCACTGGCGGAGAAGCTACCCGAGTTAGCCCAGTAGCTGCTTTACCTCCCTCGACTGTCTTCGGTGCCGCGGCGGTTCCTGACGGCTTCGTGAGATCTACAGTAACGGGAGTTTCAACCTTCTTAGCAGTCTTCGGGGACGTAACAGTAGCGGCCACGGGCGCAGGTTTCTTCACTCCTCCCTTCTCCTTGGCGATTGCCGCTTCCAGGCGCGTGATGAGAACGGCCTTCAAACCCCCGGAGTCGAGATTGCGCTTCTCCAGCTCTGCCCGCAGATCTGTCACCGTCATCTTCTTACAATCCATGGTGCCGGGACTCGACATGACGCTTCTTCGTGTTTAGGGCTGCTGCTCACACCGAAACAAGCATATAAAGATATACTCAGGGGTCGGATCAAACGGTCAAGACACAGAGCTGTGGGGAATTTTCTTCCTTCGCTCGAGGTCACTCCATCATCATCACACTTGGACAGCGAGGCGGCAGATGATCATCCCCGCACAACCTCATCGCCGGGTTGATAACTGGACGAGAGAGAGAAACCATCACGAACAACAACGAGAAATGAATACCACGGATTGGAACAGTGTCAGCCCAAGAAGTTTCTTCCGTGCTTTCGCAAATTTTGTAAGAGCAAAGAGGAGTTTCTCTCTTGTCAACGGTGCAGAAACCCTAAAAAAACTAGGGTAACAGTGATTGAAGTCACGAAGTCACGGTGAAAGAATCCATTAGTTTCCCGACGAAGAGAGGCGAGCAGAGAAGCGGGAGGGAGGCAGAGAGAGCAACCAGGACACAGAAGGATGGCGACCGACAGTGAGGCAGAAACTCAATCAGAAAGGGACAAAACGACGGGGGAATAAGGACAAAAAAACAAAAAAAGAACGAAACAAAGTGCTACTCACAGGTCTCAGTCAGAACATACAAAGAAGAAGGCAGAGTCTACTTAGGTCGACCGCCCTTCTTTCCTGCAACACATTGGAAAAGCAGCTAGTTTCTCTGCAAGTTTGCAGCGATTGTGTGTGCTCCCACCATGCAAGAGCAAAGATTCCATCCCAGCAGCGTCGTTGTCCGCTGTCACAGTCTATGTGCGATAAATTGCGTTCGTGTGTCCTCTCCCCATGGCCACGACAATCACCTTGGCAATCGGCCGACATAGCACTCACAACAACATCGACATGGCTGTCCTGCGCTCCATTATGGTGGGTTCAACACAGAGACGGTCATGAACAAATCGCCTGTTACTGGTGGTTACAACCAAGCATGATTATTCTGCTGTGCCCACGACCTCCTTATACGCCCTCGCCACCTGACCTAGCGAACAGACCCCAATGATTACACATTATCACCCCTCCCGTGGCAGGATCAGGGTACTCGATGTTCGAATCCGCTGGTAGACTCGCTGGCACCAGTGCATGAAGCAAGAGGAGGCAGAAGAATAGGGAACAAACAGGACAAGGGTATGGGTGAAAACCAGTTTAAGGAAAAGCAAAATACAAAAGAACACGAGGACAAGAATCGAGCAGAGACTAGATAACACGTCACAAGAGAAGCAGACGAGGAGGAGAAGAGGCAGAAAATAAAAAGCTGAAAAAGAGCGTAGGAGGGGACGAGAAAAAGGGGGGGGGCAGGCAGGAAGATAATCATACGAGGGGAAGAGCAACGAAAGGTGAGGAGGAAAAGAGAGCTATAAAGAGAATGAGAGGAGAACGGAAGAGGAGGGAGGAAGAACAGGGAGACGAGGAGGAAGAAGAGAAGAAGGTGTCGGAGAAGGAGCACAGAGGAACCAAGGAACACAAGAAAATAGAACGACCAGACTAGACGAACACACCAATAGCAATGTCGGACATTCCCGCCGAACTAACCACCCACGGCGAACAGATTGCCTCGCGAAACAGTCAACAACCTAGCGCACGACCCTGGCGGCGCACATCCACAGATCGATCGGGGGCCACCTACCTTCGCAGAAGCGCGTCCAAACGGCCGGTTCGTCAGTTCCGTAAGCTCCCCTGCGCCCGTCGATCGGCAAGCAAGGCGCCCTGCTCTAATACGTCTTCCGAGCTCGCATTATTCCCCTCGTTCGTCTTCACAAAGCCTGTGATAACGGAACCTTCCGCAGAGAATGGAAAAAGCGCCGCGAAGGGGTTGTTGGACCGGGGCTAATACCTTCCCTCACCTGTGCCTCAGCACTTCTAAAGCGTCGGGGCGGACCGCATACGTCAAGAGCGTCGGGGCGGACGGCGGACGCTAAAAGCGTCGGGACAGACCCCACCGGAACCACGCCTTCCATCCAAGATAACTTCGGGCACGAGTTACATTTTCTGAGCCTGTAGATAGGTGAGTGGGACACCCGTCAAGGGTCAGGCTACGCTGGTTCTATGTTATGCCGCCAGT